TCTTCCTTCCCTCTCTCTCTTTTAAATTCTCGTCTTTCATACTCTTCTCTTCCCTTCTTCTCCCTCCTCCCTTCTGTTCCCTTCTTCTCTTCTTATTCTTTCCTCATGGCCTTAATTCTGTTATTCCTTAATTCGACTAAGAGGGATTGAGGTTAGCCTCTCATGGTAGTCATGTCGTCTAGCCGTAATATCGTTGTGCCAGGATTACTTGGCCTGCTTTTATTGCCACGACAGATTGACCATCGTGCCTAGCTAGTCGGTATTAGTAATGACGTCTAGTAGTAATCCTGTGAGCCGGTCTTACTTACCGAGCCCGTTTTGCTACCATGTCAAGCCAATTATTCACTAGTTTAGTCATCGCTCTGATCCTCTCTCTCAGTCGAATTCTTCTCTCCCCCATCTTTCTTCTCTTCTTATTTTTGAATACGCATGCTTGTGTATGTTCATCAAAGAGGAAAAGAGTGAGGTTTGACCCACTTGCCTTATACCATTTGCCATATATATGTGTGATTGCATCAAACAAGAAGAATACAAGCCAAGGGAGAATCAGTTTTATTACTGGGGGGCTTTCTTCGTGATCTAAGTAGGCACCCATGCGAGTCTGCCCGAGTAAGTCCCGAACCCACCTTAAATTCCTCTCTCACTGCTTGGTAACACCTGCCCCCGTTCTCAAATGAGGTTTTCAAGAGAGCGATCTCAAAAACGTCTCTGATCTTCCCTAGAAACTCGAGACACGTGCTGCCCAATCCGCCAACGGTCCGAAGGGCGAGATCGAGGCACCTAACCACTAAGTGCTTAAAATTTTAAAATTTTTCAAATACCTTCTTGTAATTGTTAAAACGGTCCGAGTTGGCAAGCTCACTGAGTCGATTGGGATCCAGCGTGTGACCAATTTTGCATCCAAGCTGATTTTTTTAACACTTATCTAGAGCAGCCTAGTTTCGATCCACAGAAAAAAAATTATTTGAAAAAAAGTATTTCTTATGAAATATATTTGTGAAAAACATTTCCTACAAAATGGGGTTATGCTATTTGATAACATTGGGGGGTAACCTAGAATATAGATTTTTACTTAGAAAAATGGGTCCAATGCAATGAATCTATAGAGGAAGACATGGTAGAGATAAAGAAATGAGGTAATGGCTACAGAGGAAAACATGGTAAGATACATTGTGACTATGCATAGAAGTCTGACCGAGAAGTATATTTTGAGAATGGCTTGGGGCCTTGGTGGTAGTATTACCGAGCTTTACGGGGAGGTCTCTGACTCCATTCTCAACAAAAGGTAGGGCCCAAAACCCCACTAACATATCACTTATTTTAAGAAAATGGACTGGGGCCTTGGTAGTAGTTCCAACGAGCCCTATGATGAATGGACTTGGGGCCTTGGCGGTAGTTCCAACGAGTCCTATGATGGAGTATCTAACTTCTTTATCACCAAAAGGTGGTACGCCCAAATCCTCACTGACTTACCCTTCTTTCTTCGTTTTTTAAGAAGTCTGATGGGGACATAGATTTTTTAGCTTTTGGGGAGAAAAATGATTTCTCTATTATAGATAAAATGATTTTAGGTATAAATAAATTTCCGCCCTCGATTTGAATCCAAATAGTAGAAATGAGCATTGCCCCTCGAAAATTATTTCTTAGTAATCTTTTTTTAAAAGGGATCCAAACGATCACCATTAAAACTTTGATTCCTATTAAAATAATTTCCATGGTGTTAAGTTTTATATGAAGTATCAACATTGGACAATCAAATTAAGGCACACCTAAAAACTATGTTGAAAGATGTAGTTTGAGTACTGAAAAGTCTTATTGGTAACCCTAATTACAAAATGTAAGGCTAAAAAAAGGTTGTTCAAGCAAGTTTATAAACAATAACACGTTTTGAAAATGAGTTGTCTCCATAATGCGTTTCAATATGCACTATTTTAAATTGTTTCATGCGTGCTGGACCGTATGACTAAATATGCAATCCAAAAAGTGTAAAGCATCTATCTTAAAGATGGATGCAAGCAGGTATTCCATCTAAAACCAATGGAAACTAACGGTCCAATTGCTCTATTGCTATAATTATTATTTCTAGCTTTTAAAATTTATTTATTTTTTCATATTCATGATTTCCATGTTAGAGATTATATTTCCTTAAAAATTAAGTCAAAAAATTTATCTAAAAAATAAATTTATTAATAGACCCACATGTCTACGTATGCGGGCTTGGCCGCATAAAAACGGGTTAAAATCTTTATTTTTATTTTTTTTATATCTATGCATCTTAATCTCCAAATCAAGAAGATCAAGTAGAAGGTTTTCTAATATCAACATGTCCCATCGACTTTTTAGGTGAACGGCGGCCAAAATTGATATCCGCTACATCGTCAAATTTCGACACCAAAATTACATTTAGAGGTGCAAGGGTGCTAGAATAGAAACCGAGAGCATCACCGAAATCCGACACCAAAATTACATTAGAATGTAGAAGTGCAACAACTTTTAGATCTATTCTTGACGGCATCCTTAGCCGCTTTCATGACTTTTCATTTTGATATGTGATAGAAAAAGAGGAGAGAGAAAATGATATGGGTAGGGGTGAGAACTGGTCGGATCGGGGACGGATCCAAATAGTATACATAGGGTTGGATCCGGATTCAAATTGGATCCTGGATATTTGGATCTGAATAGTATATATCGGATCCGAATTCAAATTTGGATCCAAATAGTAAATATCAGATTTGGTTTGGATCTAGATTTGAATTATATATATACCATTTTAAAAATATATATATAAAATAAAAATTTATTATTTAAAAAAATTTGGGTTGGATCTGGATCCACTAGCACTTGGATCCAATCTGAATTTCAATTCAAATCTGACTTTTAGATCTGGATTAAAATTTTGAATCCAAAATCTGAGTTTCACATCCTGATCGAGTCAATTCTCAACCCTTGAGAAGGTGGGGGGGAATTATGACACCCAAACTTTATGAGATGATATGAGAGAGGGACATTGCTGTATGAAGGTGACAACTTTGCTATTGGTTAACTCTTCTTACGATTACTACCATAACTCACTCTCTCTTGAAAACGTACAGGATTAAATTAACTGGCAGCTGAAATAGTTATTTCAATGTCTAAAAAATCTTCAAATTGGACATGAGAAAAAATGGATTACAAGTTTTGGTAATAGTGCATCTTGTAATGCATTTTTGGATCGTCAATTTTCAAGTTTTTTAAGTGTTTAAGATCTGTTCGATCTACTCTATTTTTTAAGCTTTAAATTTTACAATTAGAGATAAAAATAAAACTTCAAGCTATCATAAAGATTTTCAATACTAAAACAATATCTTTTAAAGATATGCCTTATTTTGGTTATTCAAGGTCTAAGCCTTATACAAACCAGACCCCTTGCCAATAGAATTAGTTTTGGAAAAGGTTTTTATAAGGGCGAGGCCCTAAACAATCAAATTAAGACGCATCTAAAATAGTTGTTTCAATGCCCAAAATCCTCAAATTGATTATCTTGACCTCAAGATATATAAATATGATAAAAAATGGATTCCAAGTTTGCATTTTTGGACTATTAATTTTTAAGCTTTTCAAGTGCTCATGATTTGCTCGATCTACTATATTTTTGAAACTTTAAATTTTACATTTAGAGATAAAAATAAAACTTTAAGTCGCCACAAAGATTTCCAATACTGAAACAATATCTTTTGAAGATGCATCTTACTTTGATTGTCTAAGAACCACTCCCATTACAAATGGGTTCAGTTTTTATAGAGCCGAGGCTCTAAATAATTAAATTAAAGCTCACCTTCAAATAGTGGCGAGAAATATGATTTCAATATTGGAAATCTTTGACTAGCCTTAAAATATATTTTGTTCTTTAATTATAAAATTTAAAGCTTAAATAATAGTGTAGATCTATGAAAATTTTAATAACTTAAAAAATTAACGGTCCAAAAATACGTTACAAGATGTATTATTTCCAAAACTTGAAATCCATTTTTTTCTTAAGTATGTGCATCTATTGAGATGATTAATTTGAGGATATTTGGGCATCAAAACAACATCTTCCGGTGAAATTTTTGAGGTAAGCTCTACTAATTTGATTGTTTAGAGCCTAGGCTCTATATAAACTTTTGAAAAAATTACAAAACATCTTCAAGATCACACTTTCTATGTAACTTACCAACTTAATTTTTTTTTCCTTACTTTTTTCTTAAAAAAAACTTTATATGCAAATACTTCCCAGGAAAAAAGTTCATTTTTTTAGACGGAAATGCCTTTCCATTATACAAAAATCATTTTAGCCATATTTGATGTTGGCTTTTGGATTAGTAGCACATTGTTGGAGCGCGCCACCGCATTGCCAGGCCGCCTCTTACAAAAACTTATGTGTCGGACCGGCCTAAGACAACTATCAGATCGAAAATGAATATTGTTGGACTACCCTTTACATAGTGTCGAAGCCGTGGATAATATCTACTGTTGGACCCTTTGCAATTGCTGGACCACAAACATCTATTGCCAAACTGCTCTTTGCAACTGCCGGACCGCCATTTTACAGAGTGTTCTAATGTCGGATTGCACTTACACAGTACCAGAGCTCCACAATGGTAGGATAGATGAGAGAAAGGCGGTTAAGGTAAAAATAAAAGAGGGTAGTTTAGGCTTCTTTTTTTTTTTCAATGGTTGTGGGGTATTTACATAAAAAATGCATTTTAAGGAAAAAAATGAGAAAAAGTTAGGTTAGGTGTAAGTTGGTGCAGGTTTTATTTTTATTTTTTGTAATTTTCTCTAAAGTTTTCCCATTGCAAATAGAATAAGTTTTTGCTTTAAAATTCCCCGCCATAATATCTAAATATGTTTTGTAGCCTTCCCGCCATAATATCTAAATATCTTTGGTAGACTCTCAGTTTTTGTTTTAAAATTCCCGCCATCCCGCCATAATTAGGTGGAATATCTAAATAGCATTGTTAGCAATTCCCTTTCTCGAGGGGGCTGTGTCAGAAGACGAGGTCTCAAGGACATTCGAGAGAGTAGAGAGAGAAAGTTAGGGAGAGTCCTGAAAAAGGCAGAGAGTACGGAGAGGAGTTCATACTGAAAGTAGGGATTTGAAGTTACAGTTTGGAGAGAGAGAAAGAGAGAGAGAGAGAGAGTTAGTTGTGAGGAAAGGAACCATGGCGTTTAGGACGGGGAGCCGAGTCGAAGTTAGCAGAGATGAAAAAGGTGGATGCAAGGGTGCCTGGTTCACTGCATCAGTGGCGAAAATGATGGGGGAAAGCAAAGTCATGGTTAAATACGATAACCTTGTGAGTAATGATAAGAAGCGGCCATTGGTTGAAATCACGAACATCGTCAATGTCAGGCCATTGCCCCCACCGCGTGGTTTCTCTGTCCATGAGGAAGTCGACGCTTTCTGCAACGATGGCTGGTGGGCTGGTGTGATTACGAAGGTGATGGCAGAGGGACCCAAGTACATCGTGTATTTATGGGACTCTGAGAAAGAGATGATTTTTGAGCCTAATCAGCTGAGGGTTCATCAAGATTTCGTTGATGGCCATTGGATCATGCCATCTTCTTCAAAGGTATATGTTCAAGCTCCCATTCTTGTGTTTAATGCAAAACACAATGTTATTCTTTCTTATTCTCACTCAAAAGGGGTCAAGCTTATAGGGTTTGAAATGGATGCTTTCTCTTGATCTAGGTTTCCTTGTATATAATGATTTGCTGCAATCTCTTGTCTCTTTTGTTTTGCGCTCCATATGTATGAAGTTTCGGCTTATTTATTTGTTATTTATCTGGTTTCTATGGGGGTCTTCTGTATGTTTGTGTGGCTTATGTAGCTGTTTTCTTATTCTGGATGCTTGTTGCTTATATCGATGAGGCTGGTTTCAATTCGCATTTTTATTGTTTCCTTCATGAGAAATTTTCTTCTTGGTTTCTTTTTGTTCTATGGTCTTGAAAATGTTACATCAGTTTGGTTTTGCTTTTCTCATTTTTATAGATACGTTTTTCTCCTTTCCAGTTGCCTTTATGCATGTTCCATTTCTTGTGTTTTTCTGGTTCACTGGCAAGTTTAACTCTGATTTTGTTGTTTGATTTGATGGTTTCTCATGGCCTCTCCAATGTCTTGGTTCTGCGTGCTTCAGTTTCTTCTTAAATCTATTGTTTGTATATCTCCCTCTTGGATAATTGTTGGTAGCTTTCGCTATGATGCCTGATGGGTCACTGCTGGGTACAGCAGATGGATATTGACTATCCTTTGAAACCTTTATTTTAGTCATTGTCTTTGAAGCTTTTTTTAGTTCTTCTAGACTTCATTTTATTTTTTTGATATTGGAGTTGATCAAGTTCTTTATTAGAAGGAGATCTCCTCTCTTCAATTTTGTTGCCACAACCTCTGAGGCTTTAACTGACTAGATATATTCATTTTTTTTTTTGATAACCTCTAAGGCTTTTAACTAAATATTTACAGAGCAGTTAGAAAAAGAATGATAAGAGGTTTTAGGTTGGTATGTGGAGTGATAAGAGGCTTTAGGTTGGTATGTGGAGCACATGAGGTTTCCCTCAGCTTCAGTTTGCAGTTTCTTTGAGTGTGTTCTCTCAAGCATTTAGTTTTGAGGCAGAGAAATTGAGAACAATAATTAGGTGGTCCTTTCATGTTACGGAGTATAGACCCTTCTTTTGAGCCCGTTTCTTCATTTTCCATGAAGGTAAATAGGATGGCATACTTAATGCCTACATTGGGTCATCAAAGTAAAGATTTCTAGTTATTTCTATATAAATAGAGAGTACTTTCTTCACAACCAAGAATGGTTGTGGCAGTGGACATCCTCATAGTTATGTACTTTCAATTTGATATTTTTCAGCCTGATATTTTGTTTCATAAATTGAATGGGATGGGATGATGCATCAGTGATTCATACAATGCTTTATCTTTTATATGAATTGGTTACTCTTTGTCCCATTTTATGGTTTTGTGGTTGTACTATAAATTTATGATAATAATTATCTTGTTTGGTGGTGTATCAAAACAGAAAATGATGCATATGAGGCAACTTATCCCGTAGAAGGTCCCAGAAGAAGTGTTTGTTATTGCTATTAAATTCCTCTTACAAGCTTGTATTCCATGTGTGCATTGTATGTACCCATAGAAAAATGTGCTTAGTGTTTATATGTTTTTATGTGCCTTAGTGAAAGTAGTTCAAAAGAAAAACCACCAAATAGGTCTCTTCCTGCCTTTGGTTTAGCAATGTGACAACCTGGATTATAGGCTAGAGGTCAAGGGTGTGAAATTTTCTCATTCAAACCTGGCTTATCACAGAATGTAAAAACGACAACCAAGTAACTTCTAAACTAGGTGTCCCCTAGTAAGGAAGTTATAGCTGCCATTTTATTTTTCTTTGAGGTTCAGAAATGTAACGGCCATAGAAGAATTGAGTATTACGTACTGCTGTGCTCCATTCATAAAATATGCAGTTGCTTAGTCTTGGATTATTCCTTATCCCAAACAAAACAAAAAAAATTATTGCATTTTTCTTGTTAAGGTTTTTTCTTTTAATTCCTAATGGGATACTTCGAGTTGCATGAATATGACAACTTTTGCAAAACAACAGCTGTTGGAATGTCTATGCTATTATATTCATGAACATAAAAATAAAAAAGAAACGGTAAGTTTTCAATAGATGAATGGTGGTGAGAAACCAGAGAATCAACATTTTGCAATTTTTCATCTAATGATATCCTTTTTCTTGCAAAGCAAATCAATGTTAATTAATCGTTTGTGTTTTATCTGTTAAACTAGATGGGAGCTAATGATATTTACTCAGTTTCTAGTATAAAAAACCTTTCGAACAATGTTATTTTCACAGATTTTTGCCAATATGTGCTTCTCTCATTTTTTAATCCTAGTTCCTCTCTCATTATTGGGATTTGTTTCCAAAGAACCAGAGCCTTCCATGAAAATTCTGCCTTACTCCCTCATTCTTTACTTGTGGTTTCCTCTTTCATTGTTAGAAGTTGCTACTGGAAGAACAGTCCATCAAAATTGAGGAATCTATTCCTCCCCGCAATAAGTAGAATACTACTTTAGAAAACAGAGAGAAAGATCCGTCCATTGAGCCAGAAGAAACAGGAGCAGAATTAGTTTAGTACTGACCCAAAAAAGTGCACAAGAAAATCTTGGGCAGAATGAGCAGATGTTTTGCCTATTGAAGCAGCCATCGCTAATACACTAACCACAACTGAAAATGATCAAGAGGTATAGCACCTGAGTGCACATCAACATAGCTAAGCCATAAAGTGTTGGTATTCATCACTGTCCTTATCAAGAGAGATTCACTATTTTAGAAATGAGTTTTAGAAACCCAATTGACACCTTGTAGCCAAGTTTATGCTGACCAGTTAGAATGTCATGTATGCATAAGTAGTTTGTATAAGAAACAACTACACTTAATGGAAATATTTGTTCAAAACATGCATATGATTATTCAAGCATGGTTTCATGAATTCACAGAAGAAGACATCGAGACTGCTTCAGAACCTAATGACCCACCCAGAAAGCTCAGTCAGTTGAAAAAGATGATTGACCTCACAATGATAAATAAAAAAAATGCATGAACATGAAAATAAAAATGAAATAGTAAGTTTTCAATAGATGAATGGTTGGTGAGAAAACAGATAATCAATATTTTGCAATTTTTCATCTAATGATATCTTTTTTCTTGCATAGCAGATCAATTTTAGTTCATCGTTCGTGTTCTATCTGTTAAATAGTTGGTAGATAACAATATTTACTCAGTTTCTAGTATAAAAAATCTTTCTAGCAATATTATTTTCATGGATTTTTGCCAATATGTGCTCCTCTCTCATTTTTTTTTCCTAGTTTCTCTCTCATTATTGGTATTTGTTTCCAAAGAACCAGGGCCTTCCATGAAAATTCTGTTTTACTCCCTCCTTAATTTGATGTTTTCTCTCCCATTGTTAGAAATTGCTACAGGAAGAACAGTCCATCAAAAATGAGGAATCTATTCCTCTCAGCAATAACTACAATGTTGCTTTAGTAATCAGAGAGAAAGATTCATCCATTGAGCAAGAAATGGAGCCCCTGGTTGAAGCTTTGCCATTGAAGAAATGTGGATCCAATATTGGAACAGCCAAGAAACTTTCACTTTTTCCCTTATCTTCAATATCTTCAAAAGGGCTTGACAAACTCGACAAAGAGAATGATGATTGCATTTTGATCAAGGCTACTGATGACCTTGAAAAGCCAAGTAGAAAGCATGGAAAAAGATCCCAACTGGACACGCTAGTTACCAAGGATGGGCCAAAGAGAGCAAAGAAAAGGGAAGATAATGGAAAGACCAGTCTGGTTGCTCCATCTGCACAGGCAATGCCAAGCCAAAACAGAGAGTTTGAAGAGAGGATGATTGATGCTAGCAAGTGTCATGGGGCAAAGAAGGGGGGAGATAATGGAAGTTTATGTATGGTATCCCCATGTTCAAAGGTGAATCCAAGCCAAAACAGCAGGATTGGAAAAGCTAAGAATCAAAAAGGAACCAAAGAACTCGAAGAAGAGAACAATAGTAGGAAATGTGGAAGAAGATCCCAATTGGACATGCCTGGTTTAACTCTAACCAATGAGGGGGCAAAGAAAGAAAAGAAGGGGAAAGATGATGGAAACATAGTTATGTTTGCCCCATCTTCTGAAGCAAAGACAAAGACCAAAGTGTTTGGAAAAAGGAAGACTGATGAGATCAAGATCAAGTATCATAGAGTAAAGAAGGAAAAGAAGGGGGAGGATAATGGAAGTCTATGTATGGTGTCTCCATGTTCAGAGGTGAAACCCGGCCAAAACAGAAAGACTAAAACCCAAGACTCTGGAGAGAAAATGACTGATGGGGTTAAGTGTGATGAGATTTGTGTGAGTATCCCTCAAATGAGAGTTTTAAAGAGAAAAAGAGCTTCTAATTTGGCCGTGCTAGCTGGGAATAATTGTAGGGATGTGAGTTTGGCTGCTTATTCTCTCGTTCTTCAAGCCTTGTATCTTCAAGGTGATCACAAGTGGGGCAATGAGATATTTCTTGCTGGTCTTCGAGCTGCATTAGCAATAACTAATGATGAACACATGGAGGAATTGAAGCGAGTCACTTCTTACAAATTTATGACTACCACAGTTTCTTAAAAGGTGATAAATCTATGTAGAGCAGAGTGCATTTTTTGGATATGGTGATGGCATGTTCTGCATGTGAAAAGTGTGAAAGGCCTTTTTTGTGGTGGTCTAAGTGCAGGGATGATTTACTTTAGGGTGGTTATGAAATGTGCTTTGGAGGTCTTTATAATTTTGTTGGACTCTCTTTTAGATAAGATGTAAGGGCATTTTGAATGGATGGTTTGGGTTGTGAATGTAGTTTTTGGAGGACACATAGCTTGCTTTTTGACCTCTACTAATACTGATTTCAAAGACTAATGGAAAGGGGTTTGGATTTGTTTATGGGATACTTGACTAATGTGTGATACCAAGGGATGCTCATATCTGTCTCGTTTTATGTCCAATCTTGGAAGGTTTTGGAGATGAGTTTCATGTAAGATCCAATGGTTTATGATTTTGTAATCTGCTTTAGTCACTGATCAACTGCCATTTTGGGGTGTACATTTTCTAAACATTTTCTAATTTCTGTAAGGCTATGCAGTTTCTAATTTCTGAAAGTCCTAGGCATTTTGCAGAGAAGGGTGGATGATCTTCAGTTATTTTGTAAATGATGCAGTTTCTAATTTCTATATGGCCTAGGTGGAGAGAAAGTAAAAGGCTCGCTTTGAGACCTCATTGGAAAAATGCATTTATGAAATGCGAACCCCTACAATGGCTTGGAATCTATTTCCACCTCTTATTATGAAATTTGAAAATCTAAAAATGGTATTAGATGTGGATCTCTGGCACTAGAAAATAGACCATCCATATAAGGCATCACAAAGTACTTTATTTTTAAGGCTTAAAATCCTTATTTCTCACATCCATACTAGCCAAGATTGAGATGATTAATTTGAAGGTTAATTGAGATTTTTGGTGTGGTTTTACTTCTTGTTCTTTTTTTTTTTAATATATTTCATACGAATGATTAGGCAGCTAGTTTTCCAAGTGAGATGCATTCCATCCATATGTGTGTGACCATGGCTTGACAGTTTCTTTTAAACGCACATGCTCTTTTGATTTAGTGATGTAGCCAGGTTAAGGCCATTTATTCCTATAAGAATGGTGTGGTTCTATAGTGAGTTTTGACGTTTTTTATTGGATAGCCTCCCAATATCCTCTTATTTGATAGCAGCACTGACTTATTTTCTGGGATAGCAGCATGTCCCTAAAGTTGGATTCAGATCTAAGATATTTGGAAATTAATTTGTTTTTTATCTCAAATTGCCTATAAGATATTTCACCCCAGTTAGCTTAGGAAAACAAATTAATAGATTTTTAATGCAAAGGGGGTAGTTTCAACGTTTGGCTTTGGCTATGTAAGTCGGGTTAAATGACGTAAATATCTTGGGCATTTTCCGCATTCCAAACATGGAACAAGAGATTCTAGTGAAAAAATATTTTTTAGGTTTTAAGTTTGGTTAAATTTGGAACAAGCAGGAATACTTTGGTCATTTAACTTAGATCACTTAAGCCCCCTAGTTATTGTAGAATCCTGCTTGTTCAGGATTTTAATCCTGAGTCTCTCGACATTTTTAATATGGGTGCAGTTTGTATAGAGTGGAGGCTCTAAACAATCAAAGTAAAGCTCACCTTCAAATAATGTTGAGAAATATAATTTCAATATTGAAAAGCTTTGAATACATTTTCATGTTTAATTATAAAATTTAAAGCTTAAAAGATGTGTAGATCAAGCAAATGTTTAAAAACTTGACTATCTTGAAAATTAACGGTCAAAAAATGCATTACAGTATGCATTATTTTCAAAATTTGAAATTCAGTTTTTTCTCATGTCCATGCATCTTGATATCCAGATGATATTTGGGCATCAAAACGTCTTCTAGTGAAATTTCTAAAGTGAGCTTTAATTTGATTGTTTAAAGCCTTGGCTCTTTATAAACTTCTTCCTTCTAATATTTCTTCACAAAAATACACACTTGATCAACATGATTTTATAAAAAGAAAACAATTCGTTGATAATAACTTGACCACATTAGCAAGTTTATTTTATTTTTTTGCCATCCTAGTGATTCTTTATTGTGGTTTGGAAGTTAAATATTCTATTTTTTTAGGGCTCAAGGTTAGGTGGTAGGGCATCACAACATTACATCTTCAATTCTATTCCTAAAACAGGTAGAGGACTCTCCATTAAACTGTAAAAAAAATATGAATGGGCTAAAAGTTACGTAGTTAAGGTGATGGGGTGCCACAATGTGACATCTTACCTTCATTTTTAGGTGGACTAATTCCAAATAGGAGACAAAATTACACTTTCATTTGAAACCAGGGGTCGCTATTTCTTGATATGGGAGTCTCTTCTTAAGCCACTTTACGCGAAAGTTGCGTGTACTTTTTGGGTAATTTATAAGTCTTTCGAACCTACTTTGACCTTTTTGAAAAGTGCAAACATGCCCTTAATACTGCCCTATTGGAACTGTTGGATTCATCTAGTAACTCCCATCATCAGAGATTCCATGCCTTTCTCGAATCCAATTTCCCTTTTGCAGTTGGTGCGATCTTTCTCTTCCTTCCTCGCACCACTTCACCCAAGTCTATGGTTTGATACCTCAACACTTTAGATCGACTTTTAACTATGAGAACTAAAAGTATAATAGATACGGATGGAAATCCCTATTGGATTTGGTGCTATCCAAAATCATCCACATAAAGAAATTTCATATTTTGTGGTATTGAGATATTTTCATATTTTGTGGGATTGAAATAATCCCATATTTTGTGGGATTGAGATATTCTCATAATTTGTGAGATTGATATTGATAAAATTCCTAAAAGAAATAGAAATCCAAAAGATTAGGACTATTGGATATATCCAAGATTTATAAGAAGTTTCCTATTTTTATGGAATCCTAATCTTATATATATGAGATGAAAGTGTAGAGAATTTGTGTGCTCTATTTGGGTCACCATATGAGAATGGTGGTTCGACTTGAGGGTTTTGATTGAGGTGTGCTCTAAAATCTTTGAAGTAACTTTCATTGGAATGATGGATTTCTATTTGCGGTGCCCGTGGATGTAGCCCTTTTGGGTGAACCACGTAAATCTTTGTGTTCTTGAGGTATGTGTCTCATGATTTATTTATCATACTTTATTTGCATATTATTAACCCATTGGGTTTATTGCTTCCTCGTTTACAACAAGTGGTGTCAGAGCCAAGTGGCTTGGTTTAGGGCTTTTGGTAAGGCAATAAAGGTTTCGACTGCAAAGCTCGAGGTAGAGAAATTTGATGGTAAACACTAATTTTTCAGCAACAATGATAAAAAAATTTATTTGGCAAATGATGAATAATTTGTGAAGCTATCCAATGGATGTTGGCATGGCGAGCAAGTGATTTTGATAGATCAAGGTGGAGATTGGTGGATTTGGTGCCATCCAAAATCACCCTCACAAAGAAATCCCATATTTTAGAGAAAGTATTTAAAAAGTTTTAGAGAGATAAACTATATCAAATTTAAAGTTCTTTAGAAAGAGTATCTTAAAATTTTTAGAGAGAGAAACTATCTCAATTTTTTTAGAGAGAAACTATCTCGAATTTTAAGTTTTAGAAAGAAAAGTATCTTAAAAAATTAGAGAGACAAAACTATATCAAAATTTTAGAGAGACAAACTATATAAAAAATTTAGAGAGAGAAACTATCTCAAATTTTGTAGAGAGAAACTATCTCGTATTTTATGTTTTAGAAAGAAAAGTATCTTAAAACATTAGAGAGGCAAACTATATCAAATTTTAGAGAGAGAAAGTATTTAAAAGATTTTAGAGAGAGAAACTATTACAAATTTTAAGTTTTAGAGAGAGAAAGTGCTCATTTTTAGTGAGAAAAACTATCTTAAAAATTTTAGAGAGAGAAACTATCTCAAAATTTAAGTTTTAGGGAAAGAAAGTAGTTTAAAATTTTAGAGCGAGAAACTATATCAAATTTTAGAGAGAGAAACTATTTGAAATTTTTTAGACAGAAATTATTTCAAATTTTTAGAGAGAGAAACTATCTCAAATTTAATTTAAAAAAAAAGACATTATAATGAATAATATAATAAAAATATTTAAATAAATTAAATAAAATGAAAATGTCATGCATCCATGTGGCATGCAAACAATCGAAATCTATTTCATAGAAAATACTTTTCTTGAAATGTATGTCAATAGAAATAGATTACCTCAGTAATCTATTTCCATAGATCCAAACGGCCCGAAGTACATGCCCAAACAAGCTCAATCTCCTAATATAACACCAAATACCAAAATATGTACTCAGTCCAAAGGCATGGGAAGCCAATTCAAGTTTCTTAAATTACTCTTATCACCTCAAAGGACTTACTAACCCCTTTTGTTATGATCGCTCCTAATACCACAAGATAAACGATCAAATATGATAACAAGTGGGAAGCATGCATTGCTAATTTATTTTTAAATTATGAATTTAAAAAACTATTTTATTGTTTCTTTCATTTGATAGTCCACTTTGCTTTTGTGGAACCTTTGGACCACCAGCTTCTTTTCTCTACAAAAGATTAATATTTATCTCATGCTTGCATCACCCATCTCTACCCTCTCCTTTTGGTTGTGATGTACCTAGCAATTGGCATCTCTCTTTCACCGTGTGCTTCTCTAGCTCTCTCTCTCCTCTTCCCACTTCTCATTTGTAATATTAAAATATACTTTACCCCATAAAAAAGGGCATTGCATGAAAGAGAAAGTGAGAGTCAGATATACAAAACATGGGTGAAACTTTAAGCGTTTGGGGTGAAACTTTAAGCGTTTCCTAAAAACAGTGAGGTACAAGATAGAATTAGATACAGAAAGAGAGATCAAATATGTGTGAGGTTTTGAACTCCATAAATCATGGAGTGTTAGTAAAAGTCACTTAAGCAATCCATGAAGTCCATAGCATTTTAGGATAAATATTTTTTAGATATTTCTTTCATATTTATTGTTAAATTGAGCTCTTGTGTTCATGACCAATTTCATAGTGAGATCAGTGTATTTTATTGTGATTATTGTGAGTTTGTGAGTATGCAACTCAATAACTTAAGAAGATTTTGATCTAACTGTATCCTGGGTGTGTGTTCATCATATACCCTATTGCATCTCAGATTTGTATCGGCCAGGAAGCTCCTCTCGTACCTTCAGATCCCGGACGTACATTGTCACCCTGTATAGCCTCCGGAACCTATTTTGATTCTTACGGGAATCCAATTGGTACTAGGAGTATTTCTATTCCCAGATATACCCTTCAAAACCTTATCTGATTCGTATAGGAGTTCGATTGGTACTATGAGTGTTTCTATTTCCAGATATAAACTCTGAAACATGCTCCGATTCTTGTAGGAGTACGACTGGTATTAGGAGTATTCTGGCATTATTCTTGTAGCACTATCCTACATAAGGGATGGTGCTACCGAATTTTTGGGAATAGGGTGATAGTGAAAACCGTATATCGAAAACTAACATGCACCAT